TTTAGGGTATATGGTTTGGGGTTTAGAATTGGCAGTTTCCCAAAATCAGGGGACCCCAATATAGACCCCAATATACTATACTCCTTATTATTGGGACCCCAAAATGGTACCCCTAATTTTGGGAAACCCTCCAATTTAGGAGCTTTTAAATACTAGCAGAGCGCTGTTCTAGAGGTTCCCGAGAGGTTGTATGATGATCATACATCGCAACTGCATAGGGGCTACCACCATATGACCCTCTTGGTTGGTCCTGTACAAAGATCCTAGCTTTGTCAACGACCTACCTCATCGCAAGGCTCATCACCATGAAACTAATGCTGAGCTGCTTTTGCTTGACAGGAACCCAACGCAGCCATCCCTAGGCACATACCCTGAATCCTAGACCCTACCTGCCTGCATCCCAACAGTCTCACTATGGCAGCAGGTGGGGCCTTCCCGTCCGAGGCTAGTGCAACAGGCTTCTCAATGACCGGCTGCCGCCTGGACTGTGCAAAAGCTCAGAACTCGGATAAGAGTAGCAATGAGCCATGAAGCTGTTCCGTTGTGCGCCAGTACTATACCCGTACGCGTCCAGTACTAGCACCAGGACTGGCACAGGTGGTAGTATTACTACTATACTACGATTACGACGATGACGATGACGACGACGAGGAGCTACTACTACGACAACGACAATTATCATCATCTCCCACTACCACTGCCACCGCGACTAGATAGTAGCCATCCTTATCATAATAACAAACAACAAAACAGAATGACGCAGGCCACTTGTGCCACCTGCAAGGCTGCGTTGTTCTGCTATCAGGTCTAGTAGACCGCAGAATCGCACAAATCACCAATGCACGCAACACACTTAAGCATTTTCAACAAGTGAACAGGTGGTCCGACATGCGTTGTTGCCCAAGGCACAGCAGAAATCGCTGGACAGCGAGGTCAAAGAAGCTTCGGGATCTTTGAAAGCCAACCTATTTGGGAACCCCTTTTTTGCGTGTGTATAATGATTAAAGCAAATTGGGCTCTATGGTGGAGCCCGGCATTTCTGGAAACTCTCATGTCGGACCTTTTGCGGGATTACCAGGTCGTTTTGCATTATGAGTTGCAGCAATTGCGAAGCTGTTGCCGGCTGTACTCCAGGAACAAGCCAAGCAGAGGTGTTCCAGCCTGATTCCGGAGAACCAGCCAATGTCGGTCAGATAAGATACCTGGGAGCAAAGGCTCTTCGAAGGCTTCCCCATCCGCAAAAACCATAAACAACCTTCAATACTACACGCTAAACCCCAAACCTGAAACCCTATGCTAGAGGCTCATCTTGCTCTTTAGAGTATGCTTCGCAAGCCGTAGCTTGTCCCCAATCCTTCAAGCAGGTTCCGGTAAACCCTCGCTACGTAAGGGTCCTACTTGTTTCAGAAGCCCCCAGGTTGAGGGATGACCTTTTGGGGATTTCTGAAAATGGAGATACGTACCCTTCAGGGACCCTGGAGGCTTCTAGGGATCATAAAGGGTTTACGGGAGTCCCTTTGAGGGATTAAAGAGGGATCATTTGGAGAAATATCCTAAACTTTAAAACCCAAAAAAACCAACACCCTAAAACCCCTAAACCCCTAGCTCTTAGCCCTAAAACCCTGAACCCTAGCCCTTATCCACTTTGCAGAACCAAGCCCGGCGCAACTATGAGCACCGGCAGCCAAGCCAAGGTTAGAAGAGCCTGTCTCTGTCTGGGGATTCTCTATATGTTTTGTATTAAGATATAGGTTATTTGCGTGTGTGTGGGTGTACATATATATATATATACATATACTTTTATGTGTTTATATATGTGGTTTAGGGCTTAGGATTTAGGGTTTGGGTTTAGGGTCTAGAGTTTTGGCATGGGAGTTTCTCAAATACCCTACCCAATAGCCGATAGGTAGGGTTTGTAAGGGGCTCTAAGGAGTCCATATAGATCATCTGGAGGAACCCCCTTCCTGGGGTCCACGAAATCCTGGGATCCTTATATACCTATTATATTTCCTATATGTGCCCTTGAGGGTTCGAAGAATCTCCCTACAAAGGCTAAGGGCCCATATTCGGGGCCCATACTTCTAACCCTGGAAATACTTTGGAGATATTGGCGGTTTGTCTGAGTGCGGTTTGGGAGTGCTAAACCCCAAACTCCAAATCCTCAACCCGAAGCCCTAAACTGTGTTTTCCCTAACCTCCTCATGAGACTAATTCATGGCCACGATGATAACAAGAATTGGACCATGTACTGTAGCAGCATTATCGGGATTGACATTGCCACCCCAAATCCAGGGATAGATGATGAGACTTCTAAGACCCATAAGGGTCTGCCTTTGGGATCAGTAAAGGATTCAAGTTGAGAAGCCCCCTGATCAGGGACAGCTCCAGGTGGGCACTTGCGAGGTGGGTACCCCCATATATGACTCATACAAGGCTCATACAGCGGTAGTGCGGCCGTATGAGGTCCGTATTGGCATCTTTGGGGTACCTACCTGGTAACTACACATGTCGAGATCCGTTGACTAACCTTAAGCTTAAGCCCTAAACCCTAAACCCTAAACCTTAAACCCTAAACCCTTATAAACCCTAAACCCTAAACCCTTACAAACCTAAACCCTTATAAACCCTAAACTCCTCAACTCCAGTCCGGCCTCCCAAAGTTCGACGACATCTGGAGAGTTTACCTGGCAGGCAGGAGGCTGATGCTGGGGACTGTTTTGAGGGTTTAGGGTTTAGGGTTTAGGGTTTATTTCCTTACCGTTTTCCAAAGACTCTTATAATCAAATGCCTGGTGGGTTGATATACAGGAAGCGGGTACAGCATTGGGTTCAGAATAAGGAGTCAGAGGTCTTAGCAAGTAGACATATTATGACACCAATATCTCAAGAGTAACTATGAATAATTACAGTCATCCGTATTCTTAACCTACTTACCCGAAACCCTAAACAGCCCTCCAAGCAACAGGAGGACAGTACACCACTGGCACGCGCCTGTACAATCACCACCAGCCAGATGTAGGCGAAGATGGAGAATCCCGCCGTGACCCAGAAGACCCCTGTGGCTAAAGGGCTTTCGGTTTGGGGCAAGGTTTAGGGCGTCGGACAAAAGTATATCATAGTAGATTATGCTATATAGTGGGCTATTGTATGTTACGGGGTTCAGGGCATCAAGCATGAAATTTCAAGCTGCGGCTGCAGCAGAGCTGCGAAAACATTGCAAAGCGCGGCGCAAAGATTTGTTGGATTAACCTTTTTCCACATGGCGCTTTGCGTCCATCCCCTGATTCTGTACACACACAACCTCAGCAGAGGGACCTTTTCTGTACAGCCTCTCCTCCACAAGGTCAGAGTCTACCCTGCTTTGCTGGGAAACGTTTGTAACTGAAGCGAAACAAGGCAAACCCAGGGCTTCTCCCCAGCTTAGCACACGTCCGCACTGTAGTAAACCTTCAGGACTTGGGTCACACTGGCTCTACAAACTGCACATTCTTTAAGGTTCTTCCCACAATCTTGACATGCGAAGATATGTCCACACGGCACCATGACCACATCAGCGGCTTTGTCCAAGCACACGGCACAGCGGGACAGGTCAGATGTGACTGCAACATTTTGGACGTCGGCCGATGGCTCCACTGCAGGGCCCGAGTCCTCCTGGATTTTCTAGGGTTTTAGGGTTTAGGGTTTAGGGTTTTAAGGGTTTGGGGTTTAGGGTTTTAGGGTTTTAGGGTTTTAGGGTTTAGGGTTTTGGGTTTCAAGTAAGGGAAACATGGTAGTACCCGAAAATGGGAGACCCCAATACAGACCCCGAAATAACCTAATCTAGGAGCTCAAAATGGTAGCCCCAATGTTGGGAAACCCCCAAAAAGTGATATAGAGGGTCGAGGGATAGACTAGTGGAGAATCAAAAGGAAAAGAACAATGGAAAATGAAATGGAAACTGTGTGTATAGGGATGTCAGGCATACACAGGGTTTAAGGCCTAGGTAGGAATACGAGCTTGGTATTCTCAACCGAACTTGGACCATAACATTTTAGGGTTTAGGGACCCTACGATCAGAAGACTGCAGTAGGGTCCTAGTTTTGGGGGTTGGGGTTGCCGGCATTCCTTTATTCTTATCGTAAGGATTGTTAAGGATGTGCCCAACAGAAACCCCTTATCTTAGGGGGTTTAGGGTTTAGGGTTTTAGTGTTTAGGGTTGAAGGTTTAGGGTGGAAATCACTAAAAACCTATTATCATCTCTTCCAGAATTCCAAGTTCCGGAATCTGCCCCCAAAGACGCCTTTTGCAAGCGCCAAGACTACACTGGGTTGCTGTTAAGGAACTTAAATTAAGTTACCATAATGGGTAGATATGAGAATTAATATGGTTACCCCAATATAGTAACTTAAATTAAGTTCCTTAACAGCAACCCAGTATAGTTAATTAGGGTTGGGATATGAATTGCGGAGGGTTTCTGGCATGCCTCTTGAGGATTAGACATCTCCCTGATTTCCAACAATTTCGATTATTTTTTGAATGGTTTCGTACAGGAAATTATGTAAAAGAGCTCCGAAGATAAAACCTCTCCCCACTGGAATTGATGACCTTATAAATCATTGTTGTACACGCCCCCCCCCCCTCTTCGGGCCGGGCACCCTTCTCAACATGAAATACGGGTTGGCGTAAATAAGTTAGTGGGAAACATTTCACAGTTTCTCATTCATGTAGACCCCTCATTAAAACAAAAAAAGCTCCGTTTAAGGCCCTTGATACTAGGATCCTGATTATAATCCCGATTAAGGGGAGGTGGTTTATTAATCAAGGGTCTAACCGTAAACCCTCTCAACCTTAACCCTTTGAGAACCTGCCCCTCCTGGAGAATGCTGCTGGCCCCGGCGGAGGCTGCCTCAACTACGGGCTCTTCGAAGCCCGGCACGCCCATGACGTGGTAGTGGCTCCAGAGCTCTTTCCTACGTTTGAGGCGCGAGAGTTAGGCTGTTGGGTCGTGCGGGAAAAAGTGGAAAGATATGGAAATTAATTGAAAGTGTTCCGATTGAAGGCTTATAGGGGACTTAGTAAGTAGGTTATAAACGGGGTTCGGATGTCCCCAAATGGCCGGCCTGCTTTTTACCCCCTTCTAGCACCTGCATTCTCCCTGAGTCTTACTAAGGGCTCCGAGTCGGAGCCCTGAAAGGGTTTAGGGCTTTAGGGTTTAGGGCTTTAGGGTTTAGGGTTTCGGGTTTAGGGTTTAGGGCATTAGGTTTTAGGGTTTAGGGTTTCG